AGTATCAAGTCCACCCAAAGAAACCTAAATTGTTGTCAGCTGTGATCGATCTAGATATATCTGTAGTGTCGATGATATGTAGAGGTTTGCAAGCATACATTCCCTGGGCTTTCATAGCCAGAATCGTGATGAATTGCTGAGCGAACGCCGGTTTGAACCCGGAAAACCAATCCTTGAGCGCCGAGTCCATATCGAACTGAATCTGAACAAATTTCTGAATTTCATCTTCTAAATCCCGAGCAGTGATGTTGATCGTCACACAGTGGGAAAGAACTTTCGCTACGTCTGCTTCGGGTTGGCTGGCGACGAAAAACTTGGCTCGTGAACACGACTCTATCCCCTTCATAAAACTTAGTACCGTCCTCCGGTCATCCCTGGTTGCTTCGTCTAGGCCATCAATTACTATGACGACTTCCGTGAGCGTAGCACACACGTCAGTGATGAGCTTCTCAAGTTCCATAAAGTCCGGTTCTCTAGTTCCTGTGGTACCGATAAAGATCTCTTCAAGGCGACGAGCAAGATCAGGAGTAATCTCGTCGCTCCGAAGAACCTGGTGGAGAATACTGCGCAAGAACGTGGGGATCGATAATGATTCCGCTTGCTGCGAAGTGAAGAAGTAGTAAACAACACGTTTTCCTACACTTTCGGGGGATGTCATCAAGCGGTCTATTACAGAGCCACTATTTTATAACGTTAGAATTTATTGCTTCGATGCATCAACTAGTAGATGGTTGCGATTATCGTCTCACCTTATGATCGTTTTTCCGCAGCCAGCTTGTTAGTGCCAACGTCAGTAAATTCGCAAATGTCAACATGCAAATATAGGTTTGCTTACCTGTTCCACAAAACCATAGAGCACGTCCAGTCGTTCCATCCCGCCATTCCCTATACTCAGCCCGCTCCAATAACCAGCCTCCTGTATCGTTGCTGCGAATCCCTCTTCCAATGCGTAGGCTCCTCGTATAATCATACTTGCTAATCTGTCGATGCAACCGAACCCGAGACCGTTCTACAGTAGGTTATGCTTTGTTAGGCCGGTTCAACATTAAGTGAGCAGCTCACCGGAGTAAAGAACATGGTCAATCGTTTTGAAATACCTTCTTCCTTCACTGCTTTCTGGGCTATGAGTTGATTTTTTGTTGCCATGTCTGTGAGTTGTAGAACTCGAAAAAATTTATTCGCTTTCCTCTCCTTTTGGTTCTCTTTAACTTCGGCCAGGAAACCCACACGATGCCGCTCATTCTCCTTATATTCGAGCAGCTGAATCTTGCGGTTGCTATCGGCTTTCTGTTCAGATGCAAGTCGAAGCTCCTCGTCCACTTCATTTTTTGCTGCAGCCAGCTTTGCTTCGAGAGGGCCGAAGTCGTCTTTGAATGGTTTGACCAGCGACTTGGCCAGTCGTTTGACAGCTGGAAGAGCCGTCAGTAGGCAACAAATTTTCCATCGCCGGCGCTCTTCGTACCTTTCTCCTGTATGACTCCCAGAGCCTTGGTGCAAAATTCCACAACACAGGCGTAAAAGTTGGAAAGTGCTTCTCTGACACGGGTAGAACCGCCGAAGAGTTTCTCATACTCGCGTAGTCGGGGACAATAGGTACCAAGTTGTTCAAAACGTCGCAAAAGACTATCGAAGTAGTCCGAGAAATTGATCGCTGCCTAGGCCAATGCAATCAGCAGTGGAATTTCAACCATGCTTGAAGGGCATTACTACACACCATGAGGACAAACTTGACGCTTCCCCATACTAGAGCTGATATTGTGGGATTTGCCTGTATCAAGGTATCCGCAATGGCGCAATATTGTTGAATAGAGGTGAGGATACCGCTCAGTCGTTGAGCCCATAATCTGCTTCGGCTGCTCGATCCTTTCTCGTTGATTTCTTCGGTGAAACGAAGGACGTCATCCGCAGTCGGAGTGCCTCCCGGGAGTGAGTTGAACTGCACTCGCTCCTCCGGAGACAAGCTGCGCTGGAACCCCTCTAATGCACTGTTCAACGCATTCAGAGACCTAAATAACGAGTTACGATCATTCACACTCAATAAGAGGAATTCCATACATGGAGGGCTGCTTGGGGTCGTTCACTCAGGGAGTCTGGGACTGGGTTGGGCCTGGTTGTCGCTTTCACTCGGTGTGGATCGTTAGGGCGGAGGCCTGAATCTTTGACGCTTGCGAGGGTGCCTGGAGTTTTTGTGCTTATCCCGTTGTGAAAGCTGTTGAGCCAGATTCTGTGGAGTGGGAGAGCGGGGTTCTTAAAGCACAACGCAGCCGCATCTGATCCTGAGCGCCGTGTTGTGCGATTGGGCAGCTATGCATGTACCACAACTTGAACCAGAAGAACCAAGGCGATACAAGCGTCTTAAAAGCAACAGGTAGAGTACTGCCCGCTCGTGCTCTACGTCACTCAAAATCACTCAAAATCATTCGTTCAATGCTCCAGTTCGAATTCGAGCTACATCCCAATAGCTTTTAGCTAACACTTCTAGATATAATTGTGATGAGGTGTCTCGAGAGCTCCAATATATATTGTGACGATGCGCTGCCATTTAAACTTCCTTAAACTTGGTGTACGAGCCAAGGGAAAGCGGCTGAAACAAACAGCCACTGGCTATTTTCATGGACAAAAAGAAAAGCAGACCGGTCGACGCACCCGAGTCAAAACTGCGATTTTGTGTAACTGCTGGGTTGGTATCACGCGTACAAAACTCAGCGGTGACAACAGAGCGAGAGAAAGGCCTCACCATTGGGTGTCGTCGCCATAATCGTGCAGCAAAAAGCAAAGTGTTTGCAGCTACTTGCCGCCCACATTGGCCAGGTCAACCGACAGCATGCAGATTATTTGTTGGCTGTTGCAGTTATTAAAATGGCCTTGGGTGGTCAGCTCGCGAAGTTTTGTCGGACAGAGGGTTTTGGGCACCCTGTCTTTGAGCCGCACATTCTCGACCAAAAAAAAAAAAATTTAAAAGAAGACTGTCAGGCGCCTATGTAGTTTTCGCTCGCTCTATCGACTGATTGAGTCGAATTTTCCAGATTCTTCCTGGTTGTCGAGGATGTGGGGTCGCCGGTTTTGGACAATTGTCCCCCGGCTGTCAAAACAAGAAGATTCACGCTTATCACTCGGTCATTTTGTATGTATTACTAAGCGAAAAGGAATGTCGCGACCCACCGCGACCAGGTGTACTAGTACAATCCGCATCCAATTACCCCTAATGAAGCCGAATGAGCATCTTCATGGAAAGACTGACCGTGCAGCCAGCCAAGAAGGCTGCATTGAGGTAACCAACTCACCAACCCCACGCTCCAACAAGAGAAACAGCGTGACGGTCTCCCAGGCTCCCCGCGGTTTTTCGACATAGATCGCGTGTAATTATTGAATACATGAAGCCAGACACCACATAACCCGAAGGCGAAACTCCCTGTGGCTACTAGAGTATCCGACAGCCGTTTCGGACAAAAAAAGCAAGTATGCATGTCGACACCCAGCGCCGACTGAGTTATGAGCTCGACAAAACATGTATAAAAAATCAAAAGGGCTGTCATAGATGACTTAGGATGACTTGGGACCTTGTTTGCCCTTGTGGTTCAGCCGGAAGGCAGCACAGCATCAAGGTTTTGCTGTCTGGTTTTGGGCTTGAGCCTTGCGGGTCAATAGCTATAATGTGAAAGGTATAGATAGAGCAGTAGGAAAATAATCGCAGCTTTTTCCATACCACTTCAAGTTGCTACCCGCACCCCACTGCGTAGAGCCCTCTCACAAGCAATAGACCGCTAGCCCAAACCACAGGGTATTCAGCCTTTCACAGTTTGTTTCAAGTTGTTTGATGTGATAGAATAGTCCATATAGGTCCGAGGTTGCTGCGTCGCCAAATGAGTAAATCATAGAATATTGACACCCCTGCTGGCTATTCCCATCAATGGCCATATTATTTATTCTATTTACACTAGTCTAGAAAGTACAGTGCCATCAGAAAGGCTTGAGCCAGGCCATTTACTCGGCTTCAATACTCCTGTGGACGGTTCGTTTCCCGCACCCTGCCAGCTACCCTTGTAGAGATTGTGCAAGCACGTAGAGGGACGCAAAACATTACTTTGGCTTCAGAAGCCATTCAGTACAGTCAAGATATACCAGCCTAACTGGTATTTTAGCATCACTTTCATACGCCAAAAGGCTATCCGCTACGTACCAGTGATGATTTCTCTACCCTGTAGCCGCATACTCTTTCTCCAAGGTCTCACCATGCTTTATATCTATATCAACCTGGATCCTAAACATTTACAGCTTGGTATTGCGGATTGCTACGTTCCAGTCTTCGGGGTAGTCCAGACCCAACTCGAACAGCAAGCTGGAGATGCCACCACCAAATACTAGATATCACACCACTAGGGCTGCCCAACAAAATCCCAAAGTACCCTCCGGTACGGCCTTTTGAGGTTCTATACATATTTTGTCGACCTCCAACTCGGTCAGCGCCGCATCGATCCCGATAATGCATATTTGCTTTTTTTTTTGTCCGAAACGACGTCGTGTCCGGATTGGTTGTCGGATACTCTACTCTTGAATACACTCTCCAGGTTTTGCGGCAGACAAAGTAGCCAATGACGACCTCAGTTTCCAGGGCGTAGAACAACAGCGTCCTATATCCCTACGTCTGAATAAGAGATACGCAGTGAGTGAGTTTAGGGACCTATACCCCAGCGTGAATCTCGACTTTTTTTTGAAGTAAACAGCAACAGCCTTCTTACCCAAAGCACTCAGACATCACGGCGGATAGCCCCGCCCATACCCGCAACACAAACCCTCTAGCCCTACATACCTACATCTCTGAAATTCTCCGTATTGAACACCCCCAGTTACCTTTTCACGCCATCACGCGTACGCTGCCTCATCCCTCATCGTTCCTTTCTTACAACCAACCCCGCCTCACATGAAGTGGGGGTGCCGGCGGCAATGCGGAATAACGTTTGCCACCGGTTGATAAGTACACAAAAGCTTGCTATCATAAGTCCCCCGTGGCGCAATTGGCTAGCGCGTCTGACTGTTACGCACCTGCAATCAGGAGGTTGGTGGTTCAAGCCCACCCGGAGGAGTTTACATTTTGGCGGTACCCTCTGTCATGCATTTCCGACGGAATCCAAACTTTTAGGGCTTTACCTACTCATCGACTCAAACCCGGATTCTCAATTCTAGAGTACAACCCAAAACCGCAGCAGCAGCAGCAACATACTCCAACACGCCTACTCCTCTAAAGCTCATCCCTAATCTCTGCCAGCTCTTCCAACCGGTCCGCGTTAGCCGCCTCCTCAATCTTCTGCACGACCTCTTCCACAACCGCTTTAACCTTCTCCACGACGGGAGCCTTTGGCGGCGCAACCATCTCCGGCATGCTCATCAAATTAATGACAAGGCTCGTCCATCCCAAAAAGTGTGCCGTGCGTTGACCACGACCACTTACAGAGTCATACTGTTCCCACGCGTAGCCGGTCTCCTTCCAGTTCTTGTACACATTTTCTACGAGTGCTTTTCTCAGCTTTGTGTAGATGCGGGCAGCCTGGGCTTGGTAGGGGCCGGTTTGGGCGGCGTATTCCTATTTCTTGTTAGAGGGAGGGTAGGGAGGGAGAAGGGGGGGACGTACGGCTAAGCGCTTGACGGCGAGGAAGTTGACGTTGATCCAGATTGGACCTTTCCAGTAGTTTTCGCCAGTTCCAAACAGTGGATCGGCTTTGCTAAGGGATCTAAGTCCAAACTCGGTCCACAGCTGTTCAGGATCCTCCATCAAATCCAGCACCTTCCCAAGTTTTTCCGAGTCTTTATCGACGAGACCCAACAGGACTGGGAAAAGACTGATGTAACCCTTGTGGCAGACGTGGATACTCTCTTCGTAGTCGTCGATGGTAGCATCGCAATATGCTTCCTCCTTGGAACTCCAGTGAAGATCGTCAATGTTGCGTTTCACCGCATACTCAATCTTCTCGTACTCCTTTGCGTCCTCGACTTCGTTGATCGTGTATGCGATGCGCTTGATGCAGTTGGTCATCATGCCGACCCACGAAATCAGGTCCACGTGCAGCTCGCCCGTGTGCGGAGGGATGGCGCGAGGGTAGTCGTCCAGGCCGGAGGTGAGGCAGTGCTCGGGGGTGCGTCCGCGCCAGCGGTACGCCTCCTTTGTGGAGAAAGCTTCTCTATCCCACTCGCGGATATCGCCGGACTGGGTGGTTCGGAACCATTGGTAGTGACGGCGAAGCTTGGGGTAGATTTCACGGAGAAACTGAATTGCGGCCTCAGGGTTGTGAAGGTGGGCCGATGGCAGTTCTTCAGTGGATATTCCTTCCAGAACATCTGCCTTGGTGCCTGCGCCAGAGGCCTGCGTGGCTTCAAAGGCGTCGATGAATTTAGTCAGGATAAAGAAGAGGGTAGGAGGGTTCGCGTAGTGCGGATATTGCGTTTGGAACTCGGGGGGAACTTTGCTGCGCGCTTCATCGCCGAGGATTTGCTCGCGAGCGATCCAGCCGTCTTCGTCCATTAACGAGAACCAGCTCTTGACGATGTTGAGAGTCAGGTCCATGTCCCACTCTGAGATGGGAAGGAGGTGGAATCCCTCGTCCCAGTAGAAGCCACGGGGGAAGAAGGGGCGAGAAGGGATGCTGGTAAACAGCTCCGATGGTCCTTCTTCCTTGGTCGAGGCAGGGCGCTTCTGGGCCTCTTGGGCTGCCTCCCAGAAACCCTCGTCTTCCTCGAGGTATTCATCGGCATAACTGCGGTCAACGATAGAGGTGCCGTGGAAGTATCCAATGCCACCGAGAAGGTTGGAAAAAAGGTTGTAGGCGAATTCCGTGTAGTTCTCGGTATCGAAAGGTGCCTGCCGCTTGAAGACCTTGTCGAAGCGCTCCAAGAAGGTCTCGTGGTTCTCTTTGATCTTCTGAGTCAATATTTCGGATGTCATGGGCTCTGGCGCGGAAGCAGACGAATACAGGACATCGAACTCGAAAGGACCTTCAAACACCTTCTGGATCATGTGCACATTGCCCGGGCCGAACTCTGGCTTCATGACAAAAGTCTGCCACGGCGGAGGGTGATTCTCCTTGCCATACTTGGCTTGCAGCTCTTTGAAGTTCTGCTGCAGCTTTGCAACGAAGATCTCTAATCCACTATCAGTATCCATATTCCCCAAAGAGTCGACACAATTACCCTTTGTCTTCCATGTGTGAAGACCTGGGACCTGCGTTGACGAATACATGGTCCTTTCAAGGGGCCTCTCAGCCCAGGCGTCGGCGTTCCCAAGCTGTGGCGGAAGATTCGTCGCCGGCCCGGTAGTAACCTTGACATTGAAGTCACCCAGAACGGGAAGTTTTCCGTCCAGCTGGACGTCTCCAACCAAGCCCTTAACATCAGGTTCGTTCGCCAGCTGTATCGATCCCTTGCCCTGGTTTCCGACGTAGAAGATAAGCGTAGTCTTGGTATCTTTCTTGGCTGGAGCCGTTCGAACCTTATCTTAGCATCCGCCGCCGCGATAGTAGTAGTGGAGAGGTCCGGTGGTGGAGGAATTGGAGTTGTATACCATCGTCTCTGAGCTCGCCCTTGATCCTGACGCCCCAATTGCCGCCTGATGCAGGTGTCAGTCTGTATCTGATCAACGCCCACTCCTCTTGAAAATAGGCACGCACCATTCTGCCCGCCCTCAACCTTTACAAATTCGGTGGTCAGGTCGATGTGGTTCCCGGTATCGTGCACGACCTGTCGGCCACCCGTACGGACATCGTATTCCTCCCACCCATACCCGGCCATGTTATCGCCCTGCTCGCATTGATGCCGAAAAGCTTGTCCCGCCGTCAGCGCATTGCCCCACAACTATGTCGAGCCAATTCAACGCACTGTTCTGGAACGATTTGAAGTCATTGACATGCGACCACATCAAGCCAGCGAAGAAGCTGTCTGGCACTCGCGGCTTGATGCCAAAGTAAAGGTTTGGCCGGTAAGGCCCCCATAGCAAGCTCTGATTTGAAGCGCGCGCAATTTCACCGAGGAGGATGGACTCAGAGCTCTGTTCCGCGGCAGTCGCAGTGGTGGCAACCAGGAGCGTAACGAGCAGTGTGTGCAATATTCGTCTGAGGGGAGAACATGTGTTCACAGTGGGATCGTGATCCGCCATGGTCAGAGGTGTCGTGTGGAGACAGACAGAGAACGAAGAGAGAGGAAGAGAGAGTGAGTTCTTTCTGTCCTTCTGGGACACAATGGTAGCTCTCTGGCAGGGTTCCTTGGCAGCAGAGCCTCACCTTAATCACCTTAACTAATCTCAACCTCGACCACGCAAAACGCGCTCCACACGCGACAACCTACTAGACTCCGCCGACCACCATCATCATGAGCGTATGCCCCCCTTCTTGCGCGATATGGCCTGGACAAAAGCTGATGCTAATAAATGATAGGCACCAATAAACCCCCGCCCGATGCTGCAGTCGCTGTGCGTCCTCTCTCTCCTCGTTTCCCCGAGCTCTCCGCGACGGCGATCATTAACTGACTGCTCTGGTGGATGGCAGAATCGACAAGCCCATCCTCGTGCGCCTCAAGTGGGGACAGACCGAGTACAAGGGCACTCTCGTCAGCGTCGACAGCTACATGAACCTGCAACTCTCTGGTACCGAGGAGTTTGTGGATGGGAAGAGCACGGGAAGCTTGGGACAGGTTTTGATTCGGTGGGTTTCATGCCCCCTTCCTCGCCCAGCGGATACATATCGAACCGGGAAGATGGAACGAATGCTGAGAAAGGTGCGAGTGATACAGGTGTAACAACGTTCTGTGGATCTCCGCGGCGCCAAAGGATGATGTCAGGATGGAGGACTAAATGGCGGAGGACGGTGTATAAAAAACGGCAACCCTTTGAAATACTACCCCATTTTGGCGACTTCCTGTGATGCCCCAAATACTGTGAAATGCCACTGCTTTTTAATGTTCGAAAGAGTTCCTGGACTTCAACCCCGAACCTCCTACCTCTCGCAGCTTGCACCACACCTCTAACCCCCGCTACCTCACCGGCACTCCGTCTACCATGGCTCCCACTAGCCCTCTCGTGTCCACTCGACGAAGAAAGGACACAAGTTCGGTACATCCTTATCAGTTTGGTGTTGTCCAAGCAAGCTGTCACTCAGTCTTAGAAAAGTGACAGGCAGCGACTGGTTCTGAAATGAGCTGTGGACCTTCCACATTTTATAATTAGCCAGCCGGTGGTGCAAAAAAGGAGCCAACCAGTCGATTGATGTTCAAGAGCTTTCAGTTTCTATTGGATGTGTACCTCCTCAGTATTCTCAATAGCCGGCAGGGCTGGCTGCGTGTAAAAAGGCGCGAATTGGTACAGCGTGATATTTAGTGAAGCAAAGACCGTCACCCTGCTCTAATGCTCTATGGGACAGACAAATGCCAAACCACATGTTCTACATGCTTATGTTAATCATCCGAGTTAAAACCAAGAACAGGCCTATCTATGTCGAGCAGCAAGTAGTGATTGGCACAAACGGTCTTCGGTTATGCGTTCGAGTCGACAAATATTGCATTTTTTTTGTTTTAATTCATACTGTACTATATTCGGCCGCGTGCAGCCATGACATATAAAAAGAAGAGACTGTGCTACACCTTAGGCCTAAGCCAACTGCTGGTGTTTGCGGCTTTTTTAAGGAAATAATTAAGGACATCACACCAGGTAAAAGAAAAACGAAACTCGTAATGGCAATCGCGCCAAGGAAAGGAAACAAATTCATCACAACATGACGCCCTTCCCGGGCCATGCTCCAACCTTGGTGGTGTTCAGGAAAGCCATCACCGCTTCCGTACACCGGTCGTCAGCTAGCAGAGCGGCGGCCACCGCTCCTGCCTCCCTTCTTTCGTCGCGTCCTTGACCTCTTACAGAATTTGAAGAGGTGATCGCGAGTGTTTGGACAGCATCGTGTCCGCACCACCAGCACTTGTCGTCGGCCCCTGTCTTCAGGAGGTAGGGGCCCGTTGGTGCTTTGCCAAGTCTCAGTTGAAAGAAGCGGGACGCCAGAGCCTTCTTATGCTTGTATGCTGCATGATTTGGCTTTTTGCCTCGTCTTGGGCG